CTCCCTTGCTCATGAAAGAGATAAAATCTTAAAAAAAAATTAAATAAATAAAAGCAGTGGCACAAATGAACTTTATATCCAAGGTATTCTTATAGCCATAGTCCATGTATTATCCTATAATTAACTCAAACCTAGTTCAAAACAATTCTGATTTACACAAGTAAAAGGGGTAGGAAGATAATAAACATAAAGCACCGCTTTTCTGTTGGGTCCTTAGAAAAGTCAGGACATAAAATGAGTCTTGACTTTTCCATGACCCAATATAATAGATGTAAGACTTTAGACATGTATTTATATAGACCTAAAATATAAGTAACACTCTCTATCTACTGACAAAAGAGTTTAATGTTATTTTAGTCCTGGCTTTATAGATGTCCACTTTGCTGCCTAATGACTAGGTTTTCTGTATGTGTATGAATTGTTTTCAATATCTAAAACAAGGGTAACTAGAAGACTTCAAAGATTTAACAGCTTAAAATAAGACATGCACACATCAAGAAATAACACACTTAAAGGTCAATGCATACATTTTGCATTTTTAAGAAGTCATAATATGTTGCATTCATAAACATTAATTTTCATTCATAAACATTAATTTGTTTGTTTTTGCCACAGGGAGCATGAGTTCATTGGAGAGAGACAGAGAGTAGGATAGTGAGAAATCACCCTCTGTGGGGGATAGCCATGCTGCAATTCCTTTTCCTCCATTCTTCTCTAGGGATTTTGGGTAAACAAACACATTGGCCTGGCATGATTTTTCAAGCCACTGGGTCCAGGACTCAAATTGTGTTTGACAATGTGGGAGGTCAGCACTTTAACCACCATACTACTTTTATTCCCCTTAAACATTAATTCTTAAACTACACAATGGCAATACTGAAGTCCCAGAGTGAACACCTCTTACCACTCTCATCTCTTAGTTTCATTATATATAGGAGATTTGGCCATCAAATAATTACCACTTTTTTCTTCCCTGCTCAAGTAAACCAAGATGGGGACCAGCAGGTGGCATTATGGTTATGTTGCTAGACTCCCACACAGTTGACCATGGTTTCAGTCCCAGACCTGGGGGATTAAAACTCAACCTGGCCTGTGTGCGTGCATGACCAAGATCCCAGGAGAAGAATGGAGAAGAAGGGATTGCAGTGTGGCCATTCCTCTGGGGGGGAGGGTAATTTCTCATTTTCAGTCTCTTTGTCTTTCTGGTGAGCACATGCATCCTATAACAAAAAATCTCTCTAAATAAATAAACCAGGAAGAACAACACAACGTAAAAAAGACCATCATGAAAATAAGAACAACCCAAATGCCCATCCCCTAGTGAATGCGGAACTCAGCAGTTACAAAGGAATGAGCTATTAATACTTGCAACAAGAATAGCTCTGAAGATTATGATGATAAGAAGTCAGACTCTCCACTCCCCCCAAAATTGTCCACTGCATGATAACATTTATCTAAAAAGCTAGGAAATGCAAACATATGTACAGTGATAATAAAGTGGTTGCCTGAAGGAGAGCAGCTAGAGGGAAGGGGCAAAGGCAACTTCTGGAATGATGGATATGTTCATTATCTTGACAGTGGTGATAGGCTCATAGGTGGATAGATATGAATGCAGTAAATCGTCATGCTTTAAATAGGTTCAGTTTATACATGACAATTACATGTCAATAAAGCTATTTATTGTCTAAGTGACTTTTTACCAAAAAAAAAAAAAAAGTAAAGGAAGAAACGAGGAAGCATCTTTCTGACCTAGTATATTGGACTCAGACAGCTCTCTTTTCTGAACAGATACGTATCCCAAAAAGTCACAGAAGAAAAGTAATACGTTTACCTTGGTGATTTGCATTCATAAACAAAACATTAAAATCCAAAGATTTCATTATAATTTTTTTAAATATAGGTAACTAGTACTTATATAACTGTGACTATTTGCCAGGCACTGCTGTAAGCATTTTTCTTGCATTATCTTATCTAACCCTCACGCCAACCCTATTTTACGGAAAAGAAAACTTAGATAGGGAAGGGTTATGTAATGTGCTACATGTAGCTGATAAGTGAAAGATGTAGAATTTGAACTCAGGGGGTCGAGCTCTAGAACTCATTTCCTTTTTCACCACGTTCTACTATCACACACATTGTGAAAATCAGAAGAAATGTGAAAATCAGAAGAAATGAATATGCACATGCAATATAGTATTCTTTTTCATATTTACAGAATATAAGCATTCACTACAATTCACAAAATGAACATCCATGGCCCTTTAAAAAAAAAAAAAATGTGACCTTCAGGACCAGCAGTTAGTGTAACGGCTATGTGGCTGGACTCCCATGCAGTTGACCACAGTTCGAGTCTGGACCCAGTGGCTTAAATTCACACCGGTCACGTGTACATGCATGCCCAAGATCCCAAAAGGAGAAAGGAGGAGAAGGGGTTGCGGAATGGCCATCCCCCCTGGGGGGGAGGGTGATTACTAGCTTTCTGTCTCTCTCTCTCTCTCTGTCTTTCTGGTGAAAGCATGCACCCTGTGGCAAAAACCTCTCAAAAAAAAAAAAAAAAAGTGACCTTCATTCTTCTTTTTCCAATTAATAGAAGGAGAAAGGGAAATGGGACAACTTGCTTGGAAAACAAAGCAAATGAATGGCAAGTGGGTCAGTTACCAGGAAGTCAGTTTATCACATGCACATTCTCAATCCAATTGTCTCCATCACCACTGCCTTAAGAATCTAAATTCTTCTCTTTCTTAAAGAATTATTTTATTTAACCTTATTTATTTTAATTTGACCAGAAGGTGGGGGAGGAAGAGAAAGCAAACTGCGGAGTCTGGAACTAGAACCATGATGGACCATGTGGGAATCCAGTGCCCATAACCACCACGCCACCTGCTGGCTCTAGAATCCTAATTATTTTCAAATAAAACCATCAGGAAGAGAAAAATCAAACATATAGCAACATGAAAAATATAAAAGCCAGTTTGCTCTTCTCTCATGTACCTTATTGGTTCCTTAATTCCACTCAGAGGTCTCAATCTCTGCAGACACAGGTCTGGAGTCTATTTTGAAATCTCTCCCGCCCCCTGCCAGGTGATTGTGATGTGCAGCCAATGTTGAACCCGATTTAGATTTCTCATTGAAGGAGGACACAGGAGTACACAAGGTGTGACAAAATGCTTTGGTAAACTGTGACTCAAGGCTTTCCAAGTCTACATTCGACAGTAGTCCACGTAGACTTTAACTTTTTTTTCTTTAGGTTTTTGCCATAGGCTTGTGTGCTTGCAGAGACAGTGAAAGGGAAAGTGAGCAATCATCCTCCAGAGGGAACGTCCACACTGCAGTCCCTTCTCCACCGTTCTTCTCTCAGGATTCTGGGTGCACACACATATCCCAGCTGTGATTATCAAGTCACCAGGTCCGGGACTCGAACTGTGGTCAGCCATGTGGGAGTACAGTGCCTTAACTACCACACTACCTGCTGGCCCCTTGAGTTTAATTTTTTTCTTTTTAGAGATTTTTTACCATAGGACACATGTGCTCGCCTGAGAGACAGAGAGACAGAAAGCAAGAAATCATGGGGGATGGCCATGCCCCAGTCCCTTCTCCATTCTCCTCTTGGGACTTTGAGCCTGCATGTACACATGCCACACGTGAGTTTTAAGCTGTCCAGTCCAGGACTTGAACTGAGGTTGACTACATGGGAGTCCAATGATGCAGCCATTACACCATCTGCTGGCCCCCCCGAGTTTAATTTTTAATAAATTGAAAGTAAAAGTATGCAAATAGGATAGGAGCAAGAAAGGGGAAAAAATGTACATTTTTTGTTGTTGTTGTTTTTTTAATACTGTTGTAACAGAAATTATGTAAAAGTAAAGAGGACTGACAAAATCTCTTCTCGACTTTTTGGAATGCTAAATTGGCATCATGAAGTTAATAAACTAAAAACCCCAAAATACACCTCCGATGGCCACTGAATTTAAAACATGTAATAAACCAATAGTACATTGTGACTCTGGTTAGGAAACACAGGCAGATAAAAGGCTGTAACGAACATTTGAACTTTAAGGAAATTCTGACCAGTAGGTCTGCGGTGGAGCCCCCCAATTTCTAACAGGCTTCCAGGTGATGCTAGTACTTCTCTAGGTGGATCACACTTTTGAGCAGCAAGGCCCTAAGAAGCTTGAATATTGTTTGTAACATTCACCAACTTAACAAACACCAAGGGATTTGAACAAGTTTGTGGGAAAATATAATTTAAATGCAAGTTTATTTTGGTGCCAACTATTTTGAAATTCATACATGGTTTCTTCATCATATGCACTTTCCATGAAAATGGAAAGGTTCTGAAGACCGCACATGTGGTTCTTATCTACGAGCCAAGAAGTGTGTATACTAATTCGTTCCTAGTTAAAGCTAAAAGTAGGGGTTATGAGAAGGAAAAAGCAAATATTGTACTTGTTTGTGTAGCCTAGAAGCGCTAAGAACCATAGAATACTACTACCTGCCGAAACTAGCAGGTGTCTGGGTGACAGAATGCAAGGTCCATCCAAGAGAGGGGTTTTTTATGCTGCTAAATCCTGTGGCCTAGCACAAGCAAAGTACTCAACAGATGCACTGTCAATGAATGAACGGGAACTATACACAAACACAAGCTGTATTTACTTCGCATCACAAAACTGTCTGGCAAGGGGACTATATTTGTACATAGGGATGCAGAGAGCCATCATTTGAAACAAACACCTGGCCCATCCATCGGACTCCATTTCGTCCTAAAAATTAAAAAAACTTTCCTGAACATTTCCACTTTAAAGCCCAGGTTTCCCGCACCCCGATGTTTAAACGGTTTTTTTTTTAGCTCTTCGAAAACACGAAGAGAGGAGGTTTCCCTGGTAGAAGGGTTAGGAAAAGTCTCAAAAATTAAAGGAAAAAACAGAGAGAGAGAGAGAGGCGATGGGGAAGCAGTTCAAGCAAAGGAACGTCTCAGGTGGTCAGAAGCTGCGTGCTCTTACCTATGGTGGTGGCAGGGTTTGGGTTCGAGTTTTATATGTTGTGTTACTGTCCTGGGTCACTGGTGCAGTATACCTGGCTGAGGAAGCTCAGACTACAGGACTACAGAGGTAGCAGCTCTCCTTGCAACCATCCGCAGCTTAGGGAATTCGAGTTTCGTGCTCATTTCCCCCTTCCCAAGGTCTCCCTGCGCGTTCAAACACAAGATGATCTGGGCAGCTTCGCTATGGATTGAAGCCACAGCCAGAACTTAAGATGGCGCCAAAACACCAGGTGAGAGCCCACAGAGCGAGGGGAAACATGCCCAAAAGAAAGATGGCCTCCACCCTGCCATTACAATGTTCAAGACGAGCCCCAAACAAAGATGGCGGCAGAAGGCGTCTAGTTCCAGGCTGGGAAGGCGATGAGTGTGATTAGAGGTGACAAATCACGGTGAGCGGGCTAAATAACTGAGGTGGCCAGGAAGGAAAATAAACGCAACCTGATGATGATAGGTGGTCTTCACCATGCTGGAGAATTTTAACACAGTGACATAAATAACATAATTTAAACATAAGTGACATAATTTTTTTGAACATCATAAGCTAATACTAATATTGTCTTAAGGTCCAAAAAGCAGGATGGGGAGATAAGGCGGGAAAGGCACCGAGCCCGAGGAACTTGGGACCTCCCCATGAGCCCACAGTCTAGTGAATGAGGCCTTAACTCCTCAACAGAGGGAGAGTCGTTCTCACTGCGCATGTCCACTCTCCGACCGGATCCGGGAAAGTTACGGCGAGAGAATCCTTTCCTGGTTTTCTGAGCAGCGGTACAGAGAGGCGGGGATTGGCGCTGAGTGACAGAATCAGGAGCGTGTGATTAATCATGTCAGGCAAGCTAAGTGGAGAGCCAAGAGCTGTTGACGACTGTAATGCACGACCCAAAAGGAAGCTGCTGCCTCTTTGATATGTTATTTATAAATCTAAAGTATTATCTAGGATTTTTTAGTTTCAATCATTAGCTGAAATTGACGCTCAGTAAACTCTGCCTCTCTTTCTTCCAGCGAGGACTCGCCGCTCCTGGGCCAGAACTTCAACTAAAACCCGGAGGGGTGGAATTGCAGCGCGGTCGGCGCCGACCTCGACTGCGCATGCGTCGTGTCGCACGCGGAGCGAAGGTTCCCGGGAACCGCGGCGGCAGCGGCCGGAGGTTCGGCCTTTGGGGCCTTCTGTCAGTGGCGGCCCAGGGAGGCGCAGCGGCTGGTGGGCAGGTGAGAGCGCTGGAACCCCAGGTGGAAAAGCAGCATTCTATGTGCCCTAAGAGGGGAGGAGCGCTTGCCCTTCCTCAAAGGTCTCTTGTGACCCCCGCTGAAGGGTATTTGGGGGTAGGGACAAAGACGAGGCAGGGTCCCTAGGTGCCTGAAGGCCTCCCTCTAAGGTGGCTCTGGCCATAAATCCTATTTGAAATGAATGCGCTAGTCAGGAGGGATTGTCCCAGAATCGTAGGTGGAACTGGAGGAATAGAGCCCGCTTACTCCCTCCTGCCCGGCCACACCGTGAACCAGGTGGAAACGAGTCCAGTGAAAGCACCAATAGCCCCTGTGCTGCCTCCGTCACTCCTTTCTGGAAGGGAAGGCCCGCGTCTACCTGGGAGGGTGCATGGTACATCGAGGCTGTTGGGATCACCCCGGGTGTGGAACGGGACATGGGTGTGGAACTGGACATGGGTGTGGAACTGGACACGGCACCTGGGGGAAGGCGGAACAGGACTTACTGGGCCTTCCCTATTGTAGGGGTGACCTCCTGAGAGTTAGATGAGAGTTTGCCCAAATCTGTGCAGTTTCAAAGACTCTTCAATATGGCAGCGGCGTTCACTCAATATCATCGCTAGTTTTCCATTAACAGATATGTAAGTGTTTGTCACCACTGCTGAGTTTATAGTTACAACAGTGACCAAGACAGGCAGGGCTGGGCCATTTAAGCTTCTCATTCGAAGTGGAGCTGGTCTTCTAGATGGAAGTAGAAACAAGTGTACTGATAAATAAAACAAAAAGATGTTTCCTGATTGTCCTAACATGGGTGTCCTGGGAAGCAGAGTCAGAGATCTGTTTGCAGGACATTTAATAGGGAGGACTTTGGACCATTACTAAAGAATGAAACACCCTGGGTAATGTTGAGCTGCAGTAGGCCCAAGAAGGCCTCCCTCAGTCCCACAGGAACCCTAGAGGCTCTCCTTTAAAGTTGTTCAAGTTGAATAGAAAGGTCAGACCTTTACACTGTGCCTTGATCAGTTATTGAATGCCTGTTGTCATAGAACAGAGAGAGCATAACTTCAACACTTCGGCCAAGTCAGTCCTGGAAGCAGGCTGACAGCCAGGCTGTGTCAGCTCTCACACATTCCATGAATAGAGGAATAAGCCTTTATTCTTAAAGGGGATGAGTAACACATCACAGCATTTGCCACTATTAGGGCTTTGAAAGAAATAGATGTCAACAAGTGGTGTAGTGATTAAGGCGCTGGACTCCCACCTGAACAACCCTGGTTCCAATCTTGGACCTGGTGATTGAAGGTCATGCTGGGTGCCTTGCTTATTTGCCCAAAATCCTAGGAGGAGAACGGAAGAGAAGGGATTGCAGTGTGACCATTATACACAAACACACACACACCCCGTGATTTCTCACTTTCCCTCTCATTCTCTCTCTCTCTCTCTCTCTCTCTCTCTCTCTCTCTAGCTAGTGCACATGACCTATGACAAAAACAAACAAACAAACAAAAAAACTTCAAAAAAGAAATTGATGTTCTAGGAAATAATAGGGCAGAGACTAGGAAGAAACTTTAGATCAGATATTTAGAAAAGCTCTCTGAGTAGTTGACATCTGAACTGAGCTGAAACACAAGAATGATTTACCTCCTGTGGAACAAAGGAGCCTCTCCTTTGTGCTCTGCACTGGGATAGCAGAGAACAAAATAAGGGCTACCTTCTGTTGCAGTGGATGGCAGTTACTTCTTTAAATATAAACGTCTTGCTGTAAGTAAAGATAGAGCAAATAAAAATAGGTTGAGACTAATTCAGAGAAAGATGAGAAAATAACAAGTATAGTTTTTGAAAGACGAGTTTAGTAAAGACTTAATCTGCTACAGTATTTTTTTTTCTTCCTGCCCTGTAGCATTAATCATGTTTTATTAGAATTGTCCCTTTCGTTTCTCAAGCCATATAAACATCTTGCTGTAAGTAAAGATAGAGCAAATAAAAATAGGTTGAGACTAATTCAGAGAAAGATGAGAAAATAACAAGTATAGTTTTTGAAAGACGAGTTTAGTAAAGACTTAATCTGCTACAGTATTTTTTTTTCTTCCTGCCCTGTAGCATTAATCATGTTTTATTAGAATTGTCCCTTTCGTTTCTCAAGCCTGCACTCTGGAGGACAAGAATCAGGCCATATTTATCTTGGTAGTTCCCCCTGGGTACAATAATTTTCCAAGCACATAATAGACACTGAGTGAGCATTTTCATAAAATCTCACACATAATTGAAATGGAAATTGATAAGCTGTAGATGATGTAAACACTGGAGTCATGACTGTATTTGGATCTGTCTCTACACTGTTGCCTCGTTTTGTAAGTTATGACCAAATGTGAGCCAAAACATTAGATGATAATATATAACTGCTTTGATCAATCAAGAGTCTTTTATATATGATTTCTATTAAAGATAATATACTTCCAATAATAATAGTTACTATTGAGCACTTCCCACGTACCAGGCTCTATACTAAACTATGAAAATGTATGGTGCTCTTTATAATGTGACCCCACATTTCAGATTATGAAACTTACACAGGAGAGAAATCATTTGCCAAAATAACTGATACATGATAGAATCTAGAGTTTGGTCCCCCTCATTACTCAAAGACTTTGCTTTTCGAAGTCAACATTTCTAAAAATGCAGACCAAGTTTCAGTCATACTGGAACTCACATTTAATCACTTGATATTAACTGTTATCAGAAACAAAATGAAATTCATGCTGTCTTCACTGCTTTGCCTTTTCATTTTCCTATTTCCCTCACACTTAGCTTTCCTGGCTCTCATTGTAGGAGCTCGACTATGTCTTCTAACATCCCAGAATCTGATATGGCTTCACTCTACCCTAATCAAGATAGCTCCAGAGACCTCAGAACTGCTTTCTTGGGAACCTGATATTTTTATTCATATCTAACTAACTGAAACTGCCCAGAGATGTGGAGCCTCCTTAACAGGGACCACTTTTTAACCTGAGCATTCATTTTATTCCTCTCATGATCCTGCTACCCTCTGGGTAAATTCCAGTAATGTTTTTTTCTCCCTTTTGAAATAATCATAATAGCCAGCAATCACCAAACCCAGACTAAGTGTCAACCAACTATTGTGCTAAGTGCACAAGAAACTTGTGATATGGAGGTCATTATTATTACCATGTTATGAATGGTGGAGCTGAGGCCTGGTTAGAGTGGGTGACTAACCCAGGCCCACACAGCCCATTGTAAAGTGTTAAGGGCAAGAGCCAAAGCCTGGGTAGTGGGCTTGCATAGCTCCTCTCTTTAATCGTTAACAGTCTCGTGCATTCTTACTAAAATATGTTCTTACTCAAATTATTTAGTGTGCTATACTTTCTGAAAATGGGTAAGCAGGAACTAGATCTAGATCTTGGTAGGTTTTTTGAACACCATATTAGATTTCCCCCATTAATCAGAAATGTCACTAAAGGCTTCTAAAAGCAAAAATACAACTGCAATGTTGTCTTTTTGTTTTGTAAAATGGGCATGTTAAGAATACAGAAAACAGATTTGTGGGGAAGACTGGATAGTGGATCCCAAAATTAAACTTCATGATTATCTAGAGAATGTGTTAAAGTACAGATTCCTGGACCCCACCCTAGAGTTTCTGACTCAGTAGATCAGGGGCAGCCTGAATATTTGTATTACTGATAAGTTACCAGAGAATGCCGGTGCCACTAGTGAGAAGACCACACTTTGAGAACCACTGGGTTTGAAGCAAGGAGGTCATGTGAGAGGTGAAGCTATGGACTGTGGCTATAGCAGAGATTCTATAAGAAATATTCAGGTTATTCACTGGCCTCATAGCATGGCACTGTTGTACAAAGGAAACCAGATCCTATGTGGCCAACCAGGCTCTGAGTAATTAACACCAGGTATACACACATGTCTAGGATCCTGACAGGGTGGAGAAATAGAGGAAAAAGGATTGTGATGGGGCATGGTTAAGGCTGCTGAGTCCCACATGGATGATTTCAGTATGAATCCTGAACCCAGCAATTTGAAAAACAGTCCAGGTATGTATGCCCAAAATCCCAAGAGGAGAATGCAGAAGGGATTACAGTGTGGCCATCCTCACTGGGGCATAATCACTTTCTCTCCCCATCTCTGTCCCTCTCCAGCAAGTGCATGCACCCGATAGCAAAAACTAAAAGAAAAAAAAAGTTTAGATTATTAGTGGGAACAGATTAAGGGTGAACAATAACAGTTGGATATGTGGGTCTAAGCTGGTGATGAAGATGTGAGAACAATGAGTGGATGTGTTGTAATATAAATTTGGGGTATGAATGAGGCCACCCCAGAAACAAGACCAGGAAAGAAGATGATAACCAAGGACAGATCTTTGATAAGGATGAATAGGTGGGTAGACACTGAGAGGCCATTAAAGGAGACTGAGAAGGTAAAGTATGTAGTCCTAAGTACTTGAGAGTTTTACAAAAGCATCAAAATGTGAGACCAGAAAGTGGCATGGTGGTTAAGGCACCAGACTCTTACATGGACAACCACCATTCAAGTCCCAGACCAGATGCTTGAAAATCATGCCAGGTATGAGTGCATACATACCCAAAATCCTGAGAGGAGAATGGAGGAGAAGGGACTGTGGTGTGGCCATTCCCCCTAGGAGCTTGATTTCTCCCTCACACCCGCCCCCCACCCCCCATGAGTGCATGCTCCCTATGACAAAAACCTAAAAATCGAAAAGCAAAACACATCAATGTTTCAGAGAGAGATCAAATAAGGGGAATGATCTTTATAATTAGCAATCTTCGTAGAACATGGAACAAAAGCATAGTACTTGGGTTTGAAGATGGAGTGGGAAGGTGACTCTAGAAAAAAGATGCACTGTTTGGAATGAATGAGATTGAGTGTTTCCTGCAAGGGAGACTGGTAAAGGGCATTTGCTTTAGAGAATTCATTTTTGGTTCTTTTCAGTGGAGAAAAAAGTGGTCAGGGTT